CGACAATACAGGGGTGGACGTGGTTATATGTATATTTGGCTATTTGCAATGGTTCTCTGCATCGAACTCTCTCAATTGTTGAGACCCACCTGTACCTTTAATTTATGTAGAGTTGCAATTATACCATTGCTATGTTCCTCTGCATCTACAAAAAAACGATTCATTTTCTGGAAGTATTATATCTCTATAATTCTACCAATGTTGTTAGATACAGCATTATGTCATTATAAAAGGTCTTGGAGGACTACTAATTTATAAACCTGTGCAATTCTCCCACTGACACGTTCGAAGAAAGTGCTCCATTGTACTTCATCTTGTGCCTCATATTAAAAAATGAGAATCCCAATTCTGTCCAAAGTCTTCTATTTTGTTGTGAAGCCTAATGCTACAAAATGTTTTTCATGTTCCATTTTACCACCTGTATTACTAAATAAATATAAACTCCTAATGCTACATACAAGCTCTTAAAAATTAATAAACATTTCAACGACTTTTAATACCACTGAAATTCTTAACCAGAAAGATCTGTGAAACTTCCTGACCTTTTGTCTGCAGTTTTCTTACAAGGAAAGTACTCCGTTCACAACATGTTTTAGGAAAACTGCCCAAAGCCCTTCAAAAAGACTGAAAGGAAGTGAGAATGCAGGCAGCTGGCTCAGGTCAGATAAGCCAGCTGACATTTCAATGTCACAAATCTTCATCTGGTAGAGTGAATAGAAATAAAAACCAAACTGTAATTAATGATATTTCCATTTTCAATGGGTAATAACTTCACAGCTCTAAAAATAGACGAAAACCACTTCTAATCCCAAAAGCCAAGGAACAGAGTGACTCCAGGAGAATTTTTCTTGTGTTTGTGTTGCAGAAATAAAGGCCGCACAGGACAGTGCTGAAATATTACTCCCACTGAAACAGCAAAGACTCTTTGTACAAACATTTTTTCCTCTAAGACATGCAAGGCAATGTAACACCAGCTGGATGAAATTACAAAGCTGTAAGTTTAAGATCTGTTGCAATTTTCAACATATGTGTACACAACCTAACTCCCCCTTTATTTGTAAATGGCTGACAATAAACTAGTTTTAAACTCTCTCATGCAAAGCACTACCTAACTGCTTGTTAGCGTGGCCGAGGAATTAAATGGTAGACGCACAAAATAACTACCTATCATTTGCAAACGTTTCTAAATACTGTTCCTGGCAGCCTGACCACAACCACAAAAACAAGGTTTCAATTAACAACTTAATGAGTTCAATAAAATACTGCCAGCTTTACGTGATCTTTGATCAAAAACAAATTACGTTGTTAATGTAGAGCAACAAACCTCCAGTATGAAAACACGTTACATTGTTAGATTGTTAAAAACATCCAGTAGGTTTCTGTACAGTATGGTTATCTCACATTTCTTTTTCGATATATTCTTATTGCTGTGGGAGTATTTTCTTAAAGCCAGAAATGCTTTAACAAACCTGTGTCTAATGACCAAGAAAAAGCCAGGAATATAGAGAAAATGATGTAGTTAAAATGTCACATGAAAGTTTTGGGCACGAACCAAAAACAGAACAATTGCATTACAAACACGTCTCTTAATAACGCTCATATAATATAAATATTGTTTTCGTTACTTTTGTAAATGTACTATGTTACTCTATACTGCCAATCTGTACAATGGTATACTGTATATGATGTGAACATATTTCCTCTAAATCAATTATGTTGTTCAATCATGTCATTACACCTTTCACAATAACAAATTTATTAAACCATGTTATTGTAAGTCTCTTCGTTTGAGTCCACATCTGGTCTGGAGTTTTAACACTCAAGTGGGGAAAAAAATAAACTGACGTACTTAACCATCTTTCAGGAGGAAATTAATTCAAGACACTGGATACAACTAGAAGTAAACCACAAACATACACATTCTCTCTGGGGGTTAGATACCAACTGCAAATAAGCCATTTGTCCATCAAACAAACTATCACCTGTGAAAATTGTTATTAATATATCTGCTAATTGATTGCAGGTTAGACCCTAAACACTACAGTTTTGTGTAATGCGTATTTTGATGATCTGTTATTGTTATGCCGCCATTTTAACAAGTTGAAGATCAAAAACCGATTGTGTAGCCCTTCAGCAAAAACGTGTGCGTCCGCCACACAGGATCACACTCTCCTGACCCAAGAGGGTCTGTCTTTAGAAGACAGTTTTTCGGACGGTCAATACTGAAGGGCCGAAAAACAACTACATCGAAGCAAATACGACTGCAGCAAGAAACGAAGCCTACCAGAATAACGAACCAATTTAATTTCAGCTGAACGTTCAAGTGAGGAAGGTTATTGTTAGGAGCAGCTGCAGGATGCGCCAGCACTACAAAGCTCGTTTCGGTTCCTGAAAGAAAACACCCTTGCTTACTAGCAACGAACGACATTTGTCCACTTGAACTGTCAGATATGCCCTTGCTTACTGGAAACGAACGACATTTGTCCACTTGAACTGTCAGATAAGCCCTTGCTTACTGGAAACGAACGGCATTTGTCCACTTGAACTGTCAGATATGCCCTTGCTCTGCCTCGCAGCAGCGACGGAGCGCACATGCCGGACAGAGGAGGTCACCGCGCCGGCCGACGTTTCCTTGCGGGCTGCGTGGGCCGTCCGCCACGGCCAGCCGAGGGTGGGCAGAGACGTGGGCGCAAACCGAAACGTGCGGTCACTTCTCGACCCCGAGCCACGACACCACCCAGACGGGTCTGGTGTAGAAGCACACACCCACGAAAGCCCGCAGCTTAAACAATACAAACTTCCCACATTCATCACAGCGTCCATAAAAATGACCCGAAACCTTCTATTTGTTCATGTGGCTGAGGGGGCTTGCAGCTTTGCTGCCGGTAATTTATAAGAAGCCCTTGCATTGTTACAGCTCTTCATCCTGAAATGCTTTACATAGACAACATGAGGAGCCCCACACCGTCCACCACTGACAGGCGGACCCACCTGCGTGACGCGGGGCTGTTCTTAAAATCTGCAGGCTGCGTCCATCGGCAGATCAGGGTGAGAAATGAGACGTCTCCTTATCAGCTGGATTAAAGGGTAGCTTTGCCGCGTTGTGCAAGCCGCGAGTGGAGTTCAGCCAGCACGCTTTGGATAACACCTCTAATCTGATGAAAGCGCCCACCCTTTGATTTACAAACCCCCCCAGTTTGCAAATTTTCAACGTTTTCATAGCTCTTTTTTGCAGTTACTAAGAGGTGTGCACTACACTACTATCGTGGCCTAACAGAAGATGCCAGTTTTACAGTGTGACCTTCCACAGCACAGCTCATGAGCGCAACATCGGTGTTCTTAGAATTTTTACAAATTTTTTCCATCTATTTATCTAACTACTGTTCTAGAGTAAATAGGGTAATTAACATTAGTAGGAAATTAACATAAATATTAGTGTTCCTACGTTGGTGATCCAGTGCTCTGGTAGGATAAAAATAACACTGTCTGATTTTCTATCTACTCATCATGAAACCTGATAAACTACTGATAACTAGTTTGCACCAAAACATTAAACAAATCCCATCCAGGTTCTGTCAAAGAACATTGCTACAAAATGAGTGCTTTGCACTGAAAGCAAAACCTTATCAGGAAACACAATCATGACAACAATACTTTATATTCAACAATCTGGTTTATAATGTGTTTTTGCCTTGATTGTTTAATCCAAGCTGCACTTGATATCTGCATTCTAAATAACACTACCAAACAGCACAGGAAAGAAATTAATGTCAGAAAAACAGGCAACTTTTCTGCACACACATTGGTCTTCCACATAATTTTGAGATGAGCAGGTTTTGAATTCTTGCAGTTTGAACAACATGGGCCAACCACTCATGGGGACATGTGGAATTATTCACTGGGCTTTAAACAAAAAAGATGTTGATTTACTACATACCTGTTGCTGAACAGGCCGAAACACCACACTAAGGACAAAGCAATCTGATTAAATGCTGCTTCTGGTCTTAGTATATATGGAGGTTGATGTGGCAACACAGACATAAAAGGGCCATGAAAATAAAAGTGACTCAGTCTTTGAAAAGTACAAATGGTTCTTACTTCATAATGACAACAACAACAACAACAACAACAACTGCTACAGAATGACCCTCACATCTCAGCTGCCTTAAAAACCATGATGAAGAGATAAGCTACACTGTCTCCCAGGCACATCACATGCTGCATGGAAAAACAGATTTACTTTAAGGGTCTCAATTACCCTTTAAACTTCTATTCTTATCGTTAGCAATTATACTTTACCAAGCCAAACCGTGGCTTTTTGTTGCCAATTTAATGGCGCATTCCAAAAACTACTGTTAATTAACGCCTCAATTTTACCACTGGGGAAAATCCCCAGGAAATGTTGATTACCCGCCTGAATAGATCCACCTGGTGGAATATCTCTGACAGCTTTTTAATTCTAGAGTGCGGGACAGTCAAAAAATTTCTATGATATGGTGGAATTAAATCGGGCGGCCACCACAGTTCAAATCATGACATTATGATGGGAAGCAATCGGAATTAATTTAAGACTTGTCATGTGCAAAGAACATGCTAGCAACAAGAGTCAGACATCCAGAAGTGGAGTGAGGGGAGGGTACTGCGGTTATGTGAGATTATTTCTAAAACAGCAGATACCAGCCGAAGAGGCAAGCAAGTAAAAACTTCACGGCCTAGACAAACAGTATGTAGGTGTCTTTAGTCACACAGGAAAAGGTTGCAGAACCGAGAAATATACAAGAAATGATGCATCAGCACACCTAGGCATAATTTCAACATAATACCACCCCGCCAAGGATTTAATGAACGACATTGCCTTTATGAATGTTTCATTTTAGGCCTATCAACACCGAAATGGCCCCGTCACAGGATCTGTTTAAATCACTGACTTGTGTTGGCAGTTAACTGGACACTGCCGGGCAAATTAGGCTGTTAAAGAAGAATCTGAAAATTCCCCACCATTAATAACAAAACTGTGCAAAACATATTTCATTGTACTGCTGCCTCAAAAAGGTACAGGGTCACGCAGCAGTTACTTCCAGAGGATCATTCTGAGATGGTTACCCACTTGAGAAGATTAAAGGGTTGTTTGTTCCCGGATATAAACAGATATTTACATGTCAGTTTCCGTTTGTGTCACACTCTCACTGCGTTGCCTGCAAAAATTCTGTCCTGGCACAAACTTTCAAAAGCTCTAAGCCTGTGTAGAAGATGCAGTCGAGGAGAGACTGAGAGACGTGAGCAAAACCAGAAGCGTCGTGTCTACTCCAGTCCAGCCCACTAGAGAACAAGAACCCAGCCTTTCAGCCGCAGCTCTCAAGAATGGTGCCATCTGACCAGGAGGCACTGATTCCTTTGCTTCTGTGTTTTCTAGCTCCAACAAAACTGAATCCTCTTTTCCCAAACTAAGGTCATGCGAGTACACTTCAATAACGACAACGCCCTGCCCCTTGCTGGAACAGCCCATTCATGCTTTTACAGGTACGTTCAGAACAAACAAAAAAGACGAGATTTTTGGGGCAAAATAACCTCCTACAGGACTTTTCCAATGTGGTTTTACAGAATAAAGGACACATGGAAAACACTAATAACACAAAACAAGGGAGCCAGCAGTCATATCACCCTGCAGCTCACAGCTGGCAGCCCACTGAAGCTCAGCAGGTGTGAGCCTGACCAGTACCTGGATGTGAAACTTCCTGGAAAAAACTAAGGTTGCTGCTGGAAGAGGTGTTAGTGGGGCCAGTAGGGGGCGCTCACCCTGCGGTCTGTGTGGTCCTAATGCCCCAGTGACGGGGACACTATACTGTAAAAAGGCACCGTCCTTTGGATGAGACGTAAAGCCAAGGCCCTGAGTCTCTGTGGTCATTAAAAATCCAAGGTTGTTTCTCAAAAAGAGTAGGGGTGTCACCCTGACATCCTGGCCAGATTTCCCATTGGCCCTTAACAATCATGGCCTCCTAATAATAAACTTGGATCAGGACAGATCCAAGTTTTGAAAATGGGCAACACTCTTTACCAGACATCTGTGAATTTCAGTGCTTTTCTGGATCTTTACCCTGATGGGCATCTTGGAACTGTGTAACAAGAAAAATCCATCTGTAAGGTCTTCCAAGTGTCCTGGCATGAATTTTCGGTTTGCATTCGAAAGCAATAAAAGAGTTTGCTCTCAGCTCAGGCCGAGATCTGTGAGAGTTGGAGCCAATGTCACTAGCTTGTGACTTGAACTCCACCCCCCACCCCACCCCCCCAAGAGACAGAGCCCTAGTGGCACAACACCGCCAGATATAGGGCTGCCACTTCCCAGGCACCCACAAGGGGGCGCTCCTCTCCACCGGCTAGCACTGAACCTCCAGTACCTCCCAGCGCCTCGATCAAGACCAACGGGCTGATGGGTCGCAGAGACAGAGGGGCCTGTCTGCTCTTGCTCCTTCGTCCTGCGGGCGTGCAGGGGTCTTCGCCGCATGATGACGGGTAACGACAGAGCCACCAAGGGCAGCTGGGAGGGCATTATAATAAAACAAAGCCGGGGGAGCCCTGAGCTCATGAATCAATTAACGTTGAATACCATTTTAAGAGTGAGTTTCTCAACTTACCTGAAAACATCAATTTTCTCAACGAAGACGTTCACCTGGATTCGCTTTGCTGCCCTCAACAGAATGCCCGTGAGCTGTGAAAAAAAACAAACACAAAAAGTTAATCTTGTAGGTTCTTTCACCAGAGTTACATTAAGGCTAAAATGTTCATTCTTAATTAACCATGGTCTAGCGCAAAATTCTCTTTGAGCGTGACCCGTTTTCATGTTGACTGCACATTTTCGCAAAGTCGGACTTGAGATTTATTCCTTGCCAATGTTTAATACCAGAAAAGTGTTTTACCGCCATCTACCGTTTGTTTAAAGATCGAGCCGTTCCTGCAGCTCGATGCTCTTGCAGGATGAAAAGGAACACTCTGTGATGGGCACCGACATGTCTGAACGAGAACAGTGTGTGGAGACTGTCAGCTCAGCATGCAGCCCCCTTCACACGTCAAGCTGAACACTAGGAGTCGGATGGGGTAAAGATCACCATCTTTCCAGCTTCCAAATAAATACTCCAAAAATCAGAATGTAAAAAACTATCAGGACAGCAAACGCTAGATAAAAAGATTGTATCACAGCAGGGTCCTTCTTTGTCGTCTCTGAAGTACTTTTTTCTAAAAGAATTCTGTGACTAGCTCTTAATTATCGAACACACACAACTTTCAATTAAATAGTGATGTGAAAAAATCCAAAGCAAAATCAACATTCTCCATTTGTTCACTTGTTTACCTTTAAAAACGGAGCACCGTTTGCAAGGGAATGGAATCCCTGAACTTCCAAGATTAACGTAAAAGTAAAATACCATCAGTCTACAAACCACAATTATTTGATGATCTGAAAAGGATCAGTTTTAAAACTTAAGCATGATATACAGAGCTCTCAAAAAGACACAGCACAATACAACATTGCCCACAAAATACAAAACACACAGCAAAACCAAGAGCACAACAGAAATGCACATTAAAAAGCAGAGTGAAAATGGGTCTTCAAGGGCAATGTAAAGATGGTGTTCACAATCAGTCTCAAATAGATATGGGTACTGAGTTCCACAGTCGGGAGCTTAGCAAGAGAAGGTTCCATCACCGATTGTGTGGATCCTGGTCTTTGGTAGAAGAAGACCTGAATTAGGAGATCTCATGCTATAAATCCTTTGGATAACCCTTTATAGAAGACTATTAAGTATATTAAATGTCAGCTTGACAAACTTAAGTCCATTCAACTTTCACTTTCAAAGGGAGTCTTCAACTTACACAAAACACAAATTTCATGCTGAGGGAGAGTAGTCAGCACACCAGACACACAGTTCTGGACACAATGAAGCCTTTTTAGTTTCTTAGTAGATAAGAATAATAAACATGGGAAGTCTAATGCCGATGAAATAAAATGTATAGATCAATTCTTCAGGATCAGAGACAGCAAAGACTAGAACTGAGAAGTGTTACACAGATGAAAATTAAAATACCCTCATGATGTTTTCAACACCAAGGTTTCTTCCTTGAAGGGCTTAATTCTAAGACATTTTCACAACAGCATCGAAACCACCAACTTTGCAAAGAGGCCTGCAAGGAGCCAAACCAAACAACCTCAAGTCTTATCAGATTTTACTTAAGTTCTGCTGCATACATGTCGTAAAAGCAGACAGGCAACTGTAAGTAAAGAATCACGTCAGTAGGATTTGAAAACAAATCGGACTGTCATTAGCACAACGGTACCACATTCATTATGTTGAATACTCTTACCTGGACACAATATAATATACTAAATAGCAAAAGTCTCTACACAGATCACTGTGTAAGTAACTAAGACATCACTGCATCTACAACAACCAAGGAAGGCAAGCACCAGGGATTCACGAAGGAGATTTCCATCTCACACAGTACAATGCCATGATTGATAGTACAGAAATGCATGGTATGGCACACAGGTATGGTAACAGATTTTAAGCCTGTAGGTACAAGACCAGATCTCAAGATCTCATGTTTTGGCTGTTGAGCCTTTTTCAAGAATTAATAGCTCAGGAGGACAAAGAACAGAGCAGTGAAAGCAGCTCCAAGTGAATGTCCTTCATGTTCACGATAGCCTCGTGAAGCCGATGGACATGGGGCACAGCTGCACAACCCCGCTCAGCTATTGCTGAGAGTCTGGTGTTCCCCATGGTCCCATGTGTGAGCCCAATTCATTGCCCCATCCACCCATTTTCTAAATGGCTTTATCCGACTCGGGGTCACAGGGGGAACTGTAGCCCATCCCGGCTAACAACAGGCGCAGGGCAGGACACACCGTGGATGGGACACCAGTCCATCACAGGGCACACCCAGACACAAACACACTCACACCAGTGCCAATTTTCCCAGAGGTCAGTTAACCTACCGGTATGTTTTTGGACTGCAGGAGAGAACTGGAGCACCCAGAGGAAACCCAGGGCCCCTGTACTGGGAGACAGCAACGCTATCCACTGTGCCACTCCATGTTATTGCTCCACACTGTAGTTTTAATCATCATTTTTGCAGCTTAGAAACTGACATATTGTGCTGAAAAGCTTTTGTAAGTCTTTTGTACTGGAAACTAAAATAAAAATAAACACTGGGAACTAATTATTTTGAACTAAAAGAATTAGTTTTCAGTGTTTATTTTCACAGATTTTTGCATATAAACCCAACACATTTAAGCACTACAGTTTGCCCACTCATTAAAATATATTTTGAGAAAGAATTTGCCAAGGAAAACGAAGGAAAAAACACAGACTGGCTTATCACTACGAAGTATGATAAAAATCATCCTTCTCCTTTACGGCTTGTAAACAGTACGGATAAGAGCACGTACTGTAAGTAGCAATGGACTTTGGATAGTGCTGGATAATTGTTTTCAGAAAAGATTCCCCAGAAAGCAAGGATGCCAACACCTCAGAAAACAATCCAGAAACAAACAAAAGGACCTCAATCCATGCCAGCCTGTCAAAAGGGGATTTTTGAAGTCCCTATTTTAGACACAAAGAGAGAAAGTACGGTACCAATACTGTTCAGTACAACATATAACACACAGCAAACAGTCCAAAAAGTCTGAAAACCTAACATTTCTTAAAATGAGAAGTTTAATAAAAAAAAGAAAACTACGCATGAGGAATTTTCTACTGAAAAGGTCATTTCTTTACCCAAATGATACTAACTTATTTTTTTACCTTGTACAGTCTTTCCAATCTGTTCTACCTCTCCTCCAGGATAAAAGAAACAAATCTGCAATAAGACCGTAAAAAAAAAATCAGTAAAATGTTCAAAAACAGTAAGATGTTGAGCAGGGCTTTCTTCAAGTCCCAACCCAGTGAGTCACCCTGCACTTCCTGGGTGCAAAAACCGCAACTTTGCCAGCTGCACATCTCTGCACTCAAAATGGATACACTGCACTATCACCTTTCAAACATCCATGACAGAGCGACATGACAAAAAATCGAGTCTGAAAAAAACTGAAAGCAAGGTTTGGAGAGAATAACACCTACAGTAGCAGAGCAGAGGAATTCTCTATTCCTATCTGCTGAAATCCTACTTCTAATTGACCAACAAAGCAATATTTCTTATCTGCAGCTTACAGAACCTGGTACAACTTAGATTTTGATTATTTAACGACTGTGATAAAACTGCTTATCACAAAAAGGACTTCAGACTGAAAGAGCCCAGAGGAAGAGAGAGCTGGAGTTATTTTGAGCCACACTGACATGAGTGACCTGCTTTCATCACAACTAGGACCTTAGAAACCACAGTTTTATCACCTAGTGATATCTAAAAAAATATTCTTTACTCCCCCCTTGATGGGAAGCTCAATTTACATATTAAAAGGTTACTAATCAAGGTCATCAGATGCACATAGGTCAGAGTAATGAAAGTATTTCATTGGTTGCTAAACAACTGTTAAGCTAACAAGCTTAAATCTTCCAAACTACTGTAGGTTCACATTTTTCATGCTACAGAGGTCTTCGCCTTTTCTCAAGGGACAAACACTTCTGAACTGAATTTCAAATGAAACCCTGCCCAAGCTGCTTCTGCAACATTACCATTTTCCTGTTTATCTTTTGTAATTGATTAATACAGCCGAGAAACGCCCTGCTCTGAAATTTGAGCATTGAAGACAACCAAATAAATTGAATAACCAAGTAGAATTTTTTTAAAAAATGAATTTCACAGAACCTCACTAAATACAATACCAAGTTACATTACAGTGAGAAAAATGGAAGTTATATAAATTTAAACATCTGATACTTTAAACTAATAAAACAAATATCTGTGTACTTATTCTTGTGTAGTCTAACCAGAAAATTCTCATGATGTGTCAACTGTAATAAAATATTTTATTTTTTTATAAGGCCTTAAATGAGATCTATAAGCAACATAGAACAGACGTTCTGAGGCATTAAATGAATAATCACCAAAAAGGTCCAATAAACAAATTTACAATAATTTTTGTAAAACATCTAAAAAGCTCTTGATTCTTTTTTTCTACCAACAGGTCACTAAAAAAACTCAGCACATTTTCCAGGTCTGGGCTTCTGTATTGCTTATGATGAATACGTGCTGATGAACTAACGGACTTGAGCGCCCTCTTGTGGCTCAGTTTGAATGTGCGCCTAAAACGGAAACGGATTCAACGCCGGTTTAGGACCGGCTTTAATGTCAATAACAATGAGTTTTAAACGACACTAGAAACTAAAATGTTTCTCTCCCGAGTGTTAATTCATAAGCCGGTAACAACTCGGTGTAATGATATATAGTTCAAGCAGGGAGCTACGTCAGCATGCGTAGGCTGCAAAAGTACAAGTAAAGGTGTATTCCCTGATGAAAAGAGAAGAAAAGAAACGCAACGTTTCGTCTGTGGAGCCTTCTTCGGGTGTAATGATGATATACAGCAGTGAAACTCGAATATACGGCAGTATTGTACATTTAATAGCGTCGTAAAGCAATCTGGTATACCGGTCTATTACGACAGGACAGAAAGTGTAAAAAGATAGGTGAGCGGCTGTGAATAAATGAATCGCAGGAGCTACTGTAGGTGTTCATCAAAAGCCTGTTTCTTTATTGAACAATGAATGAACATTACGTGGTGCGAGAAGTGGGGGCTAATATAAAGCTCTGATTTCTGTGAATCGACATGGATGCTTTGTAACCGCCCGAATTTTTCTAAATTCACGGGAACCGTTTGAGTGCAACTGGAGAGCATTCAGGCAGCAGTTCTCATTGTACATGCAAGCCAGCGGGGTGGAAAGCAGACAGCCCTGCTCCTCACAGCCAGCCAGCCTGCCACTGAGCTCTTCAACACATCTGTCTTCGCGAATCCAAGCGACAAGGACCAAGTCGACGAACACGGCTCGCCGAAGAAAAATGAGCCAGCCGAGAGGTGTGGGTTTTCATTACGCGGATTCAGAAACCGGGAGGAAAGCTTGCATTGCTTTCTGGTCGATCTGGAACGGAAAGCGCAGACGTGCAATATGACACGGGACCAGACTGTGTGGAGCGTACGCGACAGAAAACATCGAGAGAATGACTCCTGCTGGAGCCCGACCTTACTTCAGAAGATGCTGTTGAAAGATGCCAGGCCAGTGAACTTGAAATGAAAATGGAAATAACACGGTAACACGCGAAAGTGTGGCTGCTGGTGAGGCGTCAAGCACTGGCAGTAGAAGCACTGGGCAGCGCGCAGGTGAGGGCACTTCTAACTGCACCTGATGTGGTACTCAACACCAACCACGGCCATGTCCAGCGAGTGGAAAACAGTGCACAAAATGCACAGCAAAAAAATCACTTTGCTGAACAGTGTTTTTTTTTTTTCTAAAAAGGCCATGAAGGAAGGGCAATGTTTTGGAAGATACCGATTTAAGTGAGACATTATTTGTATTCGTGATTTCACGCGACGACGTGCAGCAAGAAGAAAAAACAAATGCAAATGTAATTCAGAACGGATGTTCATGCAGCCATCAGAAACAAACAGGTGGTGACGCGGCAAATAAATGGAACGTCGAGTCCGTGGAAACTGGACACTGGGGCAAATGTTAACCTAATCAATACAAGTGACACTAAAGCAATGAAAGGAAAGTCCCTTTGAAAGCAATGATGGGCAACACGTTGACACAAAAAGTACCGAAAGTACTGGTCAAGAATAAAGTGCATCACCTTGCGCTTGTAGTTGTTTCAGATGGGCATGAATCGCTACTAAGGGATGAGGCAGGCCTGTGAGGACGGAGTTAGTCAGAAGAGTGTTTCTTGCTAACAGTTCCAGTGCAGCAGTGACCTTGAACAGTGAAATGGCTGATGTCACAGTGCAGAGATTTCCTGATGTTTTCAAAGGATTTGCTACTCGGGCCAGTCACTTATGGA